TGGCATGCCCAATGTCAGCAAAGTTTGTTAGAAATGGGTATTGCCAAAATCCAGAAGAAAAAGGCAATTGCAGTTGGACAGACCGGCCCACCAATGTGGGTAACAGTTGTGCTCTTGAAACACACTCATTTCTCAGAAAGTTTCGAGTGCTTGAATACACCCTTAGTAGTTTTACTTGGTAATCCATCTTAAAAAGGGAAGGAAACTAGTCATGTGGTTACAAGACAGGCCTGCCAGCCAGATTTAAGCTATGATGTTGACTACCACCATAGCATTCCCATACAGTAGATTAGACACCCTGCTCACATCTCTCACGTATCTTTATGGAAGATAAAGTCGTTTCCTGACTCCTGAGAATAAACATTACTTCACTCAATATGAGTAAATTCCTGGCTCTCATTGGAGACAGGGCAGACTTCTACTTGGGATATTCTCTATCCATTGATTACTTAGAAATGAACTTCCAGGGTCCCCCCAACCAAGAAAGTCCTGCCGAAAAAGCACAGCTGCAATGCAAGTCAGTTCTTCTAGCACATCGCTGCTATTGACAGTTCAGGGAACAGAACAGCAGTCAAAACTCAAGCTAAAATGCAAACTAGGCACCCTAAAGAGAATGGAAGCAAGCAACAGGGTCAGAGGCAGAAGGAATGTATGGCTGAACATGAAGTAATAGAGATGTGACCACTCACGAGTGAAGTCACCCAGCATCTCATGTAAAAGATACTTAGTGTTGAGCTTCTGTAAGGAAATTGATAGAAAATGTAAATGGAAACATATACAGAGTAGACTACACTGGAGCACTAATGAGTGTTGGCTGCAGAAAAGATTACATGATGAGCTTTTCAGCTCACCATGTCATTTAATTCAGGTCATGCTACTATGTTCCTATGCTTGTACTGCACTGTGCTAATAAATAAAGTTGTATTCAGGGTTACTTTCTCTGCACTGAAGTACTAATTTTGTTTTTGTGTAAGGGTAGTGGAGTGGTTTTGCTTGAAGAGTGAAAACAAATTTCGAGTATAGCATAAAAGCTGATCAGCTAATTATTTCCAGCACACATTATCCAGTTCCATCTTCCAATTTGATGCTTCAACAAACCATAATTGGTGCTCTCTCTCGTACCAAACCTAGGTGCTGTCATTCTTTATGCTACTAAGTGTGTAGAAGTTTGTGCTTTACTGCTTCCCTACATAGCTGACCTACCCAAGGGGGAAATCTTCTGGTGCCAATCAGACCTCTAATGTTTAAGATGTAATAATGCAGCACATCTAAGTTTTCTTCATGAATTCTGCAAAGGCCACAGGCACAAAATAGTCTGGGGCTCATGGCAGCATCTTTGCTGCATCCACAGCAGGCCACAAAGCAGTTTCAGCTGGTACATCCCAAGGCTGGGCAACAAACCACCAACAGAGCACATTTAAATTTTTCTTATGGACTCTGGGGGGGGGGTGGGGGGGTGGGGGTGTTAACAATCCTGGCTACATCAAAGGGATGTCATAGCCAGGTTCCTGTCTGCTACGTTGCAGGTCATGCCCCACATTAGGAATTACGATGCGGCTCCATTGTGCGCTCAGTGTGGCAGATGGCTTCTTATGAAGTGCTGGATAGCAAGTTCTCTGTAAGAGCTATCATTATGAACCATTATAAGCTTTCCTTCCCTCTTTGTGAACAGCTTTTTAAGATTCTGCTTGATAGGGAGTGTTAATCATACACTGTATGAATTTCCATAGGTCTGATGCGAGCAACTGCTCTGGGCCACAAGCTTGTTTTCCATCATATGTCTGCGGTGCCACTGCCTCCTGCTCCATCATATTGTGCCAAGTGCCACTGCTCAGTCCTCACACAACGCTGGCATGCAGAACAGCATGGACTACACCGGGGTTTTGTCCTGGAAAGGTTCTCCCCAGCAGCCACCTTTTGAATTTTACATACTACAACTCCAGTCAGGGCTTTGTGGAGTCTGTCAGAGGCAGAAAGTAAGACCTGAGCAGGCCTGCTGCCTTCTCTAGCTGCAGCAGGGCATCAAAGCAACAGACACATGGCACAGAGAAACATATTGGTGAAGTCTGGTGTTTGCTCTCACACCTAGAAAACACTTCTTCATGCACCAGATTGGAGAAGATTGACATTAACAGCAGAATCGGGAGGGAGAAGGGTGAGACAGTGAGTTGCACAGCTATGAGAATACACCCATGTTTCTCTATCCTCCCATTTCAAATGTAGTATGTGTATACCTTAATCTTGACTATTACAATTTTTCTGAACTCTCCTTCTGTTTCATTTCTAAGTTTTAGGTCCAAGAACACTTATATTAGTCCAAGAAGATCTGGACTTACAGCTGTCATTCAGACCAATCCGTTCAAGCGTTTCATTGCTCCGATACTATTTTCACAACCTCAGCCACTTTTATATTTCGTTCATCAATTTACAAACATAGCAAACTCACTATAATCTTGGACAGGGATACTTTTTAAAGTGCTATAACCTTGAAAAACCCTCAAGTCCGCTGGATATAGGATCAATAACTACCAGACAATCTGGGCAGATTGCACCCATGATAAAGGATGAAGTGTTAAAACATCTCGCAGTCAGTGTCTTGAAAAATTAACCTGGCATTTGTTTAGCTGTCTAGACAGCTGGGACAAACAGAGAAAAAAAAAAAAGAAAAAAGACCAGCTATTTGCATACAGTAATCCTCCATCTCCTTTTTGCATTTAGCCTTCCTATGCGAGCTAATAATGGCCAAGGTGCTGGCTAAGTTTTACTTTATTATTGCACTGCTTTTTCACTTTGGGGGTTCAACTTCCACAACTGTTGGCATAATGAGGCCTCTAACATCACTGTAGTACAGTTAAAGCTACTTAGGAGCTGCACTGAGGGCTCCGGGGCTCAATCTGGTCTGCGTATCGGAGACAGTGTGGTGACAGGGACATGCAACCAGATCTATCAATTACTGATTAGGTTTCTGCTCACTTGATGTCATGCTCATTTAGAAATCACTTAATGCTTCAGCTGGAGCATGGAGGACCTATATCATCTTACACCATAAAGCTAACTTGATTAATTCCTGGCAAACTTCTGCAAACATTTTGCAACACTTACATTCACATTGGTCTCTTGCAAGGCTGTGTTACTACATTATCACACTTTTTGTCAGAGCAATGGGTGGCTGATTGCATTTAAGAACATCACCTTACTGCATTCATTCCCCCCGCTCAGATCATAATTAGTTAGCTGTCCCAGTCAAAAAGAACAAGATAATTAGAAACTAGAGGCCCAGTTCTTAAAGAGACTTGAGAAAAAGCAAGTATGTTTCTCGAAGGACACCACCTAATTAAGCTCCTATAGAGATCTTCATGTACAGCGTATTGTTTCCTCAGGGAACTTTTTTTAGAAGCAGGTTATTAAGCTGAGGCATGCTCTCAGTGAGGCAGTAGGAGCTGATTACTGCTTCTTAAAGTTTGCTGTTACCTGGACAGTATTAGACCTGTGCTGAGCCTGCTGCCTTCTTCAAGTCTGGTATCAAGTCGTCTCATTAAATTAGATGCAGTGTTTGGTGAAGCACAAAAGCTACGTGCCACTTTCCACATTCAGGGCAGTGTTAGATAAGGAGCAAGCTAGGGTACCTTCAAGAAGCAACTCCATAATCTGGATGGTGGGATCAGGACAGGTGCACTCTGAAGCTGCAGTGGCCCGTGGCATGTTAAGGAATGCAGCCAGCTAATCAGGAATCCTTAGGACTGAACTGCAATAGTCACACTAAATCTCATTTAGAGAGCCATGGTAAGGTGTGGTGGCTTTACAGAAACCGGCTATCATTTTGGAAAGGCACCTGTAGTGGATTCAAGTACCAAGAAGCATTACATCTCTGGAAGCATTCAACAGAAGGACTGATTTTTCTCTACAAATACCAGGCCATGCAGCAAATGGAAAGGATGAGTCATACTGACCTCCTACCCAGCACATTAAATATATTCAGTCAGAGGCTGAAAGATTATTTATTTTATCCATTCACCCCTCCAGCTGACAAGGTCAGTCAAATGTCACAGTATGCTTAATCAGACAGAATGAGTTTATCAGAGTGCTAGAGACTAAGTGTCTATTTTTTATATAGTGCATGCTTTTCCCTTTGGGTGCTGTTAGAGTTCTGTTTGCAGAAAATTACAATGTCCTCCTAACTAGTGATGGCAAGCAGCATGTTGCCAAGTTTTAAACAGGAATGGCTGCCCATTCCCTTGACCAACCAAGCTAATCATCCATGCCAGGCACAGGCTCTGGCAGAGACGTGGCTGAGCTGGAGACCAGCACTCTACCAGTGGAGCTCGGGGAGTGAGTGAAGGCCCTGGACTGAGCTTGAGTGGACTCCTGGGTCCTTAGTCAGGGGTGTGGGGGAGAAGACCCTAGATGAGGCTGCTTAAAGCCACTGAGGACTATTAGTCCCCTCAGATCCCCTCTACTCTGGACATTACTGAGATGAAAAGGAGACAGACTGATAAGAACAGTATGGGTTCGTATTTCATCAGCCAGTTCACTAGTGCCAACATAAACCAATTGCACCTTGTAATTTCTAACCAAAAAATGGGTTTTCTTCAGTTGCTTTGCAGGAAATACACGACTGGGCTGTAGCAGTACTGCTGCAAGTGCTAAGCAGATGAAATGTAATCTCTGGTTAAAACCAACGAGGGCCTTCACTGACTAGAGTTTAGGCCATTTTTAGAGAAAGCCTTCTTTGGCAAAGTTTCAGTATTCCCCAAATCTATTGTTTTCAGGCTTTAAATTGTGTCCCCACAAGAGGCTTTCTTGCAAGAAAATCAACCCATAAAAAAGCACCTAAGGATGTGGAACTCCTAAATAGATTCTCCAGTTATTTTATTTCCTTTTTTATCTTTGCAAGGATATTGTACACTAGATACCTGCAAGCAGTTTACATGAGACAAGAGAAGTTGTTTGTCTCAGAGCAAGAGCTCATGTGAAGTACTGGGATGTTTTCTTCCTTTCAGCTGAGAGACGAAGTCTGAAGTCTAATTCACACAGATAATGATTTGCTTGTAAGAATTCATCATTAGCTTGTCTAGAGGTGATCCAGTCAACTTTTAACGCATTTTGACGGTACATTCCAACCAGACAAATGCTGAAGTGAGTATCACCATCAGGACTCTTCAGAAGGCAGCCTGCTGACTAGACACGCCAGTGAAGCTTATGCCGAGTCGGATCCCATCAACTGGCACTACGTACACCAGTGTCTTCTTACTTCAAACTCCAGGTTAAAGTGATGGAAATAAGCTGGCAAGACACAAACACTGCTCTTCCATCATATGCATTATGCCAGATTATTACAAATTTTCAGGTGTTTAATAAAGTCTGAGATCTCTGACAAACTCATAATTCTATTGCATCTTATTGCATCATAGATAAAAGCAGGACTAGAAGTTAACCATCGCTTTAACGCTAGCATTAGACACAAAACCCCCACAATATCTCTGTCAAGCTCAGTTGCCAGATGACCAGGAATGTCTTCTTGGAGAACTAACCTCTTTGGGGTCAAAAACTCCGGCTCAACCAGGTGCATCGTGAATTATGAACTCATTAGTGAACTGTGACTCACTACGAAGCACGATTTGGCCATTGCTGGGACGATTTTCTTTGCAACAATGCCCCGTTTCTATTGCTGTTACGCAGGTACTTTGAAGGAGCTGAGAGAAGCTTAGAGCACTTTTAGCAGGTTTACAGTTCATTTTCTTCTTTCAGGTTCTGCTGATTTACAACACCCATGTGCCATACAATTTGAATGTGGAGCCCTTTGTACATAACCAAGCAAGCACTTGATTAACTGTTTCCAGATAATCTGTCCCAGAAGACTGAGGTGAAAGCAGGATGCAAGTCTGCTGGTATCCCTCACTTGGAAAAGACCCCAAGTTTGTTTGATTCCTTATGTTGCCCACACCCTTGCCACATGTTTCCATATAGATCAGATATGATTAATGATATTTAACCTGACTATCCCTGCAACCTATACAGTTCAGCAACAAGGCAGATGTTCTTCAGTCTTATAGACATTGCAAATTTGGCTCTCGCTACAGTTTGAAACACTTTACAAGTGATTTCACTATTCCCTTTTTACACTGAAAAAAACTTGCTGTCACCCAGCTGTCTAGCAAAAGACAACTCACCTTCCAAAGGCAAATGCCAGCCCAGCGCTCTGTGCCAGCGGCCACAACAGGCCAGACTCCCTTCCCAGTGCATTCGTGCGCCAGGTGATCCCTAAGGTGTGCAATGCAGCTGAAGGGTCCTAACTGTTGGAATGCCACAAGTTCACGTGTGCCATGTTTTGTCCTTACATGCCCCAAACTGACCCATCTCTTACACAGCTTTCATGCCTGTTTTGCTCTGAACACTTCCCAGAAACATCTAAACAGTGAAACAGAATTTTGGATCAAGTTTCAAATGTCTCTCCAGAGCAGCTTCAGGATCTCAGCCAGAAGGTGGTCATACACAGCCCCTGGAGTGTCCTGCAGGGAGAGAGTGTTATCGATTGCCTTTTATTGGTCCTCTTACAAAGACAGCCATTAGGCAAATGTGATCAATTCTTGCATTTAACTGCCCCATTTCCCACTAAATACTGCACTTCCAAGTTGCTTCTGGTTCTGCTCCTAACATCTGAGGCAGTGGCGATTGCCCGTACTGCTGTGCAAGAAAAGATCCCTTTGAAAGTTTTCTATGCAGCCTGTTTAGAGGAACCAGCAACTCCATTACATCTTTGTTTCGGTTACTGAGATAGGGGAAGCTCCAAGTCACTCTAGAGCTGCACACCCTTGCCATAGTAAATGAATTGATTGTTATAGAGGGAAATTTTTCTGGGAAGAGACTCTTCACTTCCCTGTATTTCTTTGCAATGCTGTAATGCTGTTTTGGTTATGAAGTTGCATTAGGTTACTCTCCTTCCCAGTTGTTTCCCTATTTTCACTTGGAAGTACACTTCCTCTTGGTATTTTTTTCACAAGATTTAAGATGCAGAGTTACCACATCATTCTGTCTGCTTGAGATCAGGCTGCCATGAGTGCTGTAACATATGATGGACCCCAGCCGTAGCCCTAGAGAAAAGACAAGCTCCTTCACTCTGCCAGGAGCAGTCGATTTACGCAAAGAATGCAGAACGAGCGTGCAGCTGTAATCACTAGTGCAGCTGTGCTCTTCACTGGTTTTCTATCTACTAGCAGACCTGGATACCTTACAGCAATCCTTGGTGGCTAACACGGCTCCTAGAGCAGTAACCCAAAAAACTAACATGAATATTTGCAAAACAGTGTGCCCCCCTAAGCTTTACAACCCAAGAGACCACTGATCTTTACTGCACAACCACCCCAGCTACAACTTTGACCCGTCTCCCAAAAGTGAGGTCTCAGGCCATGAAATCTATTGTTTCCATCCCCGTAAATTATTCAGATTGGCATCAGACAACCAAGTTTACGAGTAGGACTTGTACATTCTTAGAGTACCTTCTTAACTGAACTCACAAGTTTATTTAGACACGAGAGCCATGAAGCATAGTTCCTGATATATGCAATTTATCTTGGCATTGACAACCAGCATCTTGAAGCCCTTGCTTGAGATTTTACCTCTGTTAATTCCAATAGACCGTGACTTGCACCTACAGGATTTATACTATTCCTAAAAACCAGTAATATTTTTGTCCTTTTGAACATGATGCTTCCAACAAAAGTATTAGCTTCCAATTAAACCTATATCCCTTCAAGAACAAAGTATAGGGCTGAGCTTAGCTTTTGAGACTTCTGCCAAGAATTTCATGTCAGATAACCATTTGCCGTCCAGATTTCATGTTCTGCAAGGCAACAGCAATTCCAGGTCTATTTAGCATGCATAGCTCCAGCAGATGTGCACGTATGTTTGTCAGCTGTATGAGGAATGAATTTTCTATCCTGTTTTCCAGGCTAAGAAACAGAACTACCTCTGCAATAGTTTATCTCAGCTTTGAGACTACTCTATCGCAGGTTACATACAGCCTAATGCTACAGAGGACCCCCCCCCACCCCCCCACCCCCAATTGCCCAGGGAATATTTAAGGGTCTACTACACCTTTTTCAAATCGAGTAGAGAATAGACAAAACCACAAATAAGCGTTTAAAGTTCTCAAGACAGTACACCTGAAGTGCTGCTACTGGAGACCACAGCAGAATTTTTTCACTTGCTTTATTAAATTTTATGATGGCTGATTCAACTTTAAACCTTTCCAATGCAATCAAGACTGCAGCCTTGTCCAGAGCACTCAAGAGTCTGGAGTGGTAGCTTTAAACACTTCCCATGCAGGTCATCAAAATGCAGCTGAGGGCCCAAGGATAATGAGGCAGTCACACTTGTGACAGCTCAGATGATTGGAAAGGAGCAAGTAAGAATCCATGACATACTTTCATCTTACTTCATCCAGCCTACTATTCAGAAAACCAGTGCCAAAACTCCCCTGTTTTTTGACCCTTGAGATCTGGGTCAATAGCAGTCTGTTGCATTCTGTGTTGAACTAAGGACAAAGGGCAGAGACATGCCTGCATCCTAGCCTCCTGCCTGCAAAATGCCAGTCCATCGTGTCTGTAGTTCCCTCAAGTCAGTTGAGTTCAAGGAGACCTAAGTCTACATTTTATCTTGCATTTCAAAGTAGTGACACGAGTTGAAACTGTAGACAAAGATGAGGCTAAGCTTTGAGGTGTTTCGGCTTTGTATGCTTTGAAAGCAACGCATTCCACACTGCAGATATGTGGTAGTTCTGCTGCCTTAGGAACACTTCAAGGGACTTGATAGTGCCACAGGAGCCATCCTAAAAGTAACAACTTCGCTCTCTTTGAAGGGTGTCACAATTCAGTCTTTAGACTTTAAATGAAGTGTTGTTCTTAAAATACCCCAAGACCTATTTTGAAAGCTACTGAACCACACTTGACCTCTCTTTTTAACACACTGCCCACCTTCAGATGTTGGCTGAGGGGACCAGCCCTTCCCTCTCCTAGAGTCAGGAAAGTTAAGGCAAATTTTTCAAATAACTCAAGTGCAGCAGAAGGGATCTAAGCAGCCTCTGCAAAGTAGAGGAAATGTTTTCTGTCCGAGAAAATACATCTGAACACATACATCTGTGTCCTGACATCAGTCTTCAGACAATTATTGTGGAAGTTACAGAAACAGTGACTATGAGCAACGTCCAGCTTTTGGATGCTTCCCTTTTCAGTGTAGGGCCGGTGGAAGTGGTTTTTACTGCTAACAGCTCCTTAAGGCTCTGATTCTACTTATTTTTCAAACTCTTCCACTTCTTTTCACTTGCAGTGAACTTGTCTTTCTGTAACATGCAATACAACCCAAGCACAATATATTCCTTCCCCTCCTGAACACACTAGCAAGGTCATCTGTATTATTTGCCTTCCTACTAGCAGACAGTAAGACAACTCCATTTTACTCAGGGCTTCTCTGCTGAAGGATCCATCTCTGGGGCCTCTGAGCATTCCGCAGTGGAAGGCTGTGGGGCCAGGGCTCAGACTTTCTCAACAAAAAAAGCTGTGTTAATCTTTGGTAACATTAGGCTTTAAAATCTCATCCTCCAGCTTGCTTCAGTGGTTGCACATGAACTGATGAGCAACAAGAATTGCTGCTGAGAGGCTAGAACTGGACATAAAAGAAATGACGTGATTTATTTTGAAGAAGGGGATATAAATTATGCAGGGGAGGGTTCATTGGAACTTCTGCAGTAGTCACATCCATCTTAGTCACTTCCATCCACGTGAAGAAACACTCTTTACACAGGATTTCTGGCCTTTGATGGAAACTATGTTGATTAAGCTGATCTTCAGTGATATCGGACATATACCTCAGGTTGTGCACCTTGACTAGGAGCAACCTACCGTTCCCTAACTGCAACATTTCAGAAGATCCTTCCTCACCCAGGCAGGTACCCACAGCTCCCAGTTTGAACTCTGCACCGGCTCATGGCGTTAGCTCCACGCTTCCCAGTAAGCTGGAAGCAAGCGCAGATGACACAGTTCAGGTCCAGGAAATCGCAAAGGACCCATCTCAGGAACTTCGATGCCAGAAGGAGGTTCCTCTACAATTCACACAGT